GCACCCAGCACTCTGCTCCCTGGGCATGCCTGTGCCAGTGGCTTTCCCAGAGCTGCTGCTTACTTTAGGTCACGCATTCCATTGTCTGCTGGGGGAAATTATTTTCTTTCCCCAGCTGAAGAACATAAATGGCATTAAAATAATAAGAGATTTAAAGCATCCCCGTGTTTACTCAGTGACATGCCATAGTGACAGGCTCAATGTAAATAGCTAAACACTGAGGTAACTCAACACTTAGATCAATGAAAAAAAAATGCCAACATTTTTCCCATTCCAAATTCTTTAGAGTAATCTCATTTGACCTCCAGCACAATGCATGCTTTAATGATGCCTGAATAATCACTAGGCAAGGAATTAACTTCCACCGTGGGTTAACACACTCACTTTCACCCGGAAGACCTGGGTTCAAATCCTGAATAAATCAAATGGATTTGGTGATCACATTCCCATTCCTCTGAGCTCTTTGTTCACAGCCCATGATGTGACACGGCCAGCAGCCTCATGCAGAGAGCAGCCCACTGTTTGGCCCACAGAGGTGCAGCAGGTCAGATGCAGGATGTGTTAGCAAAAGCCAGAAAGCTCCTCCTGGCACAGGTCCCGAGCCCTTCCCATCCCTGCCCTGAGAGCAAGATTCAGGCAGGGAGTGTGTCTGGAGAGCAGGCAGCACCTCACACCACCTCCAGGATGTCAAACGCGAGCTGTTTTCAGACACCTTGATGTCAAAAAAGTACCATTTTTGACTGCGGAGCAGATGTTTGAAGACAAACTACCTCACTGTGACCAGCTGCAGATTTGTCTCGCCAGTTTTATGAGTGGGAGAGCAAATGGAATTCATGCAACCTGTGGGAGGTCTTCGCCAGGTGGCTGTACTGGCAATGTTCTGTGCACCCTATAGAAACCCTGCACCTACAAGGAACCTGAAGCTAAAACAGCTTTCTGACACCTTGCATTTCTTGCATTTCTTTTCTGCTTGCTGCTAAGGACATTTGGACAACATGGAACCTCTGGGTGGCCTTTCCAAATTGTGTCACCAAAAGCTAAATGCACCTGTATTGGAGCTCACAGATGACGTCAGCAAAAGGTCAAGTGCTGGATGGCTACAAAAATCACATCACTTCTGCCTAGAAGCACTGCTGACATTCAACACATTGAAAGACTGCTTTGTTTTCTCTTTTTTTTTTTCCTATCAATATCTCCTTCTAATACCATACCCAAAACATAGCCAGTAACATCACAATTGCAGTGCAAATAAATAAGCCAGAACACTCTATTATTTCACCTTTAACAAGGTAGGCAGCCAAACTCAAAGGTCAGTGAAGCAAAGAGCACGTTTCCATACAAATAAAACTGCTGTTAACAACAGCATGCGGCTGGTGCTTGACCCTAAATCACACAAAGAGTAAAATGCACTTAATTTTTTTCTGTGAAGCTTCATTCAGAGTGCAGACATACTAGGAGTAAGTAAACATGCTAGGAACAAGATTAGTATGGACAAGCTTGAACGAATCTGTATTGTTCTTTTCCATAAGGTGACGTTGCAGTCTGAAGGGCTGCAGCATGACATGAGGACAGCTTTGCAGCATTTGCTGGGGACATCCCAGTCCCGAGATGTACCAACAGGAGTTCATGCTCTCATTTCAATAGCAGTGGGACATTATCCCATCTTTTCATGTTCTTGATGTGCCTACTAATAAGACAATCTTTTCTGGCAACACACGGTACTGAAACAGTCAGAAAAAGGTTTGGGTACTGGTTATGAAACCAAAAAGCACTCCTAGTGCAGCAGGATGTTTTTCCTGCTCCCACCTCATTTCACATGTGAAACATGAAGGTCATGTTCATGCTGCTGCATTATGGAGCCCAAATGGTGGCTGTGGAGCCACAGGGACTGCAGCCTTTCTCCTGTGTAGCACAAAGCCCAGCTGGCATGTGTCCCTGTGCACAGCAGTGCCGCCCAGGTAACCCAGCAGGAAGAACTCAGCTGCCTGGGAGACCCACAGCAGATCCCCAGATGAGAGTCGCACAAGCCAAGAACAGCCAGGACATGAATAAATCCCCTCCTGAGAGCATGCTGCCCATCCCCATAACATGCTCCTACTGGGAGGGGTGACGCCAAATGGAACAGAACAGCCTCACCCTCGCCTAGAACAGTTCATCACACGCCAGGGAGAGGCTGAGGTCAGGAACAAGGAGCCCTTCACAAACATTTCTGCACCACAGGATCTGCATGATGTTGGCCCGCACTCAGCTCCGCAGCTGAGGAAATCGAGGTGAAGAAAAAACACTCCCAACAACCACAGGCACCAGGTTCCATGCAGGATGGCAGGCAGCAAAGCTCTGCTTCCAGCCCGTGCCCCCCGGCAGGTCTGCCATCCACCCCAGCAGCCCTGCACTCCACGCTGTGCGCACTCCCTGTTTGCACACACGGATTTAAAGCATCTCCCCCGGTTTCTCCGCAAATTGCTGCATTCAGATGAAGTGGCAGCTGCTGTAATTAAGACACAGTTAATTACATATCCCCTTAATTGCGATGATAGGATTTTGTCAATTTGGTAAATAAGAACTGCGAGGTTTCTTCCGGCAAGTTGAGCCCCCGTGCGGCACAGGCGTGCCTGGCTTACCCCCAGCAAGGGCTGAGACCTGGGGCTGAGTGAAACACCCACCCTGCAGGGCCCAGGGCTTCAGCTGGGCCCTCTCATTGCAGCACCAGGGGGACAAGCCCCCACCTGTACCAGGGTGATTGTGCAAACACTGCTTTGCTCAAGGAGAGAGAAACTGAAGGAAGCAATCAGCTCTGACCTTCGCAGCCAGTTTCTGAGGCGGGCTCTGCAGCCGTGACCACAGCCATGAGGTGCTGCAGAGCCAGCGGGATGCTGGGTGGGTGAGAGGCACCAAATACAGACTTGTGCAGGGCTGTGGAATTGCCTTTCTGTGACTCAGCACAAAGAGCTGTCAGCCACATTATTAATGAGCTGTGCCTGAGCAAACAAGTACGCTCAGGGTGTTCTCACACAAATAAAAAAAATCATCTCTTTAGAGGTTACCTACAGTCACCTCAGATTTAATCATTACTTACAAATAAGTCATGATTAGTTAGAAATTAATCAAAACATTGTTTGTGTTTGCCTCCCAAGCCCTCATCCAGTGAGCAAACCCAACCTTTCTCCTGATGAGAAAGAACATCAGGCAGAGGCCTCTCAGCTGCCCTGCCTGAGCCCCTGCCCCATGCCTGGTGCTCCCAGAGGCCCCTTCGCTACATCCCTTGGGCCCTTCACAGCACCATGTTGGCCTGCCAGGACCTGTGCGCTTCCTCCATTATCCTCTGCCTCTCTGCTCAGCAATCCCCACGCGGGGAGCAGGATGTTTTCCTCAAGCACTAACAAAACACTGGTATCAGCTCCAACAGCAACACGTCCCTGCTTGCAGGGTACCACTGTGAGCAGGCAAAGGAATGCGGTCTACAGAGACCTGTTTTAGGGCAGGTGGACAAAAGGACAGCAGAGTAAAAAAATCACACCTTGGGAAGTGATTTACCATCAAACCAGTGTACTTTTAGCAAATAGGCGCTGCTTCCTTACAGTTCAAATTCTTCATTAGTGAAGGCAGCAACAGAATAGAGAACACACTCAGTAAAAGTGCAGGTGTAATAAAGCTAAGAAGAACTGGAAGGATGCTAGATAACAGTGTAACAGTTCAAAATTGCTTCAACAAATCAGAGAAGTGGTCTGAGAAAAAAAAAACAGCCTGCGGACAAGACTCTACATGGAAGCAAAAACAAAATATCGATTTAGCAAACTCAAAATGGGATGAGACATAAATTGACAAATCTATTCCATCGAAAAGGTGGAAAATATCACACAGGATAATTAGATTTGTTGATGTAATAAGATCGATATGCAATGCCATCCATTCCTTCTATCTGGCATTGCAGGCATCAGTGGGTAAACCATGTCTACTTTCAGGTCCCAACTCCCAGAGTTAGGAGAGAGTCACAAACAGCCTCAGAGATCTCTAAAAATTACCTTCAAACAAAGCCTGAGAGAACTGGAATTGATCAGCATGGGGAAAAAATAACTGAAGCTTAGCAAGTATCCAAAACATTGCTGCAGACAAAAAAGGGGAATTATCTGTCCTCCATGTCCAGTGAATGGAGCACTACACAACAAGCTTAAAAAGGCAGCAGAAAGGATCCAAATATATAGCAAGAGAAGTTTTTTCAATGATAAAACACCACAGCTGATCCTCTGGGAAGTTACAAAGTCTCATGGCAGGAGACTGGGCAAGCATGTGCCTGGATCAGCAGAGCCATCCTTTAGTGCTTCCTGCCACACCAAGCCCTCACTGACCAGAGGACCCCTCACGGTCCTCGCTGGCTCCAAAGAGGCAAACGAATCTCTGCCTTCTCCCCTGCCCTACCCCATCCTCCCTGAGGTATTACACCTACGCTTCTAATTCCATAAAGGTTAAATAAAGTTTTACCTTCTGTCTACAGCAAGAAAGATGCACTGGGGAGTACATCCAATGACTGTTAAGATCCAGCCCTGAACACGTTGCTGATTGTGTCAGACCTACTTTGTTCTCTCATCTTTGAAGCTTCTTTAAATTTCACTGTTGTCAGGTGATGCTCCTACTGTCAAACCTAGAAGTAATGTGAGGACCATGCAGCCTGAAGACCAGAAGACACAGCCATCTATCCACCAAAGCTCAGGGCGGTGGAGTGCAGAGACACAAGTTTCTGGGTAGTCTGCTGGTAGATCAGACTTCCCCTCCCCATCCAGCTCTGTCTCCTTTGACCCTCGTCTTCAGTATGACATAGGTCCTTCATTACATCGCTTATCGTTAACTGCAGCACTGCTAGCAAATTGGACTCTGCTGCATTTGCCTTGCAGAAGCGTTTTTGTGGTTTTGAATGCTGTCAGAGCCAATCTCATTGCTCACAGCTAAACATGACTCCTAGAACCTGAAGAAGTGAGGAAGCATCACAAAGTCTCACACAGTGAGGTAAGGGGCTTTGTTCCATCGGCTTCACTAGGGGGCAGGGAGACCAGGCAGACAGCATGCTCTGCATTGCCTCACCACTCCTCTGTGATTCATCTCATCCATAACATCACGGTGCGTGAACTAGAGAAGGAAAGCTTGCTTTACAGCCTCCATCTTCACCCAATCTGCAAACAGAAATGCCACCTGGGAAAAGCTTTCCCAATTCTGGAAAGCAGAATGGATTTCATCCCAAAATGTAAATCCTTTTCCAGTGTGCTAGGTTAGAAAACTTCCAAAAAGAGGTTCAGGGTATTTTTCAATGTCTGCTTATTATTTAGCACTATCAGGGCAGTTACAAATGGTCCTGTAACTTTAATTGTGTTTGCATGTACTCTTTTCCTCACCTGTCACAGGCTTCCTGTAGGCCCCTGCATGAATCACTTCACCTGCCCAAGGTTTTCTCCCTTTCTGTTGCGCTTTCCATGCTTTGTCAGCTCAGACCAAAGCCATGTTGCTCACAGCACGCTGAGTCTCAAAGGCTTCTGAGACTCATAGCAAAGTTACAAAAGAAAGCTATAAACTAGGCGTGCACATGGCAGATATTGAAAATACTCTTTGCTGTATCCAGGATGGACTGCTTTCTAAAGTCACACTAAGGGTAAAACCAGAGAAGAATCACCCATGGGGAGGAGCCAGGGAAAGGAGAGGAATCTCTGTTGGTGCTGCTGACTATGATGAGGACAACAGTTGTGCAGAACTGGCTGACAGGGATATGGAAATGTTAGTAAATATAACAGTGATTCTCAACAGCTCATATTGTGTGTGAGTGTTGGAGTTGTCACTTTTGTATGTTGTATAGCTACATTTTCCAAGATTGACTGAAATTATCTAAAGCATGAAAATACATTCTTTTGTAGACTGAATTGGATCAGAGGATTTTACATAGTGCTGTACAGCTAAGGAAGACTCACTGTTCTTAGTTTTAGACAAAAATCAAACTATGGATGTATTCAAGGAGTTTCTAAGGCAGCAGTGCCACAATGCCATCCAAAACAATAGTCTGCAACTGAGAACTGATCTTAACATCAAACTCCTCAGGCTGTGACATTAATTCACACTTCACTGAAGTAGTTGCCATGGAGAGGCCAAAACAATTCACTGACTCCAATGGGCAACAAAACACAGAAAACATCTACTTTGTTTTCCAAATACTGGCGAGTCACTGTTTTATATGTAACAGCCAAATTTCATTCCTCAGGAGGTAAAATAAATTACAACTTAATTGTGACAAATAAGTAGACTATCAGACTCACTGATATAATAAAGCAGTCTGCAAAGAAATTCTGCTTTGAGTCATAGAAAAGCACTGCTGGCCTGAATTACAAAACAATGCCTGAGTAAGCTAACTACTTCCTGCCTTTATTTCTGTTTTGAGACTTGCTACTAATATCATGCAGCTCATCCTACAAACACCCATACCTCTACGAAGATGCAGCATTTCACAGAACCTTTACTTTTACACGTATATTCCAGTTCTTCCTGTAGCCGTTTCCTGGGGGATCCCTAATAGATATGCTATTTCACAGAGGGCTTGGGTACCAAAACAGAGATTAATACATTCAGCCACACAGCAAGTTCTTTTAGATCTATCAGTAGACTCTTATCAAACCAAAGTAACTTTTTACATCATTGCTCATAGGAATTTGTCATGTTGTACTCTGCAATCAAACTAAGAGAGTTTGTTGATCCTGCGCCAATCTTGCCACCAGGGTAAGGCTCCTGACCAACACAGCATACCTTGTGCACACAGGCCAGGCTATTGTTAGTCATACAATAAAACAGCTTGACAGTACTATTTTGCAAGGGTATTTTTGGTAAAGAAGTCTGCCCAGCTTTCTTTTTTTTTTTAATTAAAAAAAGGTGCATCAACACAAACTCAGACTTTAAAAAAAAAAAAAAAGCAAGCAAGCTTGTACCTAGCTATCAAAGCCATTCCCTTATTTGCTAGTAAGCTCAGTAGCAGAACCAACCCTGCTTTTCCACAGAACAAATGGGATCCTGCTCTCTGCCTCCTGCTGATACCATCACCGTCTTGTTTGTTTGCTTTATCAGCTTGGTTGTTCGCCCTGGAAAAGATGTCCGTGGATTGTATCCTGGACAAGTGGGACGGGTCCACCAGACATACGTGTTCAGAGGAGCTCCAGGGTAAGCTTGCTTGTCCAAGTAAACCTAGAGGAACTTTGGAAAATACCTTTCCTACTTGTGCCTATAATGAGCAACATCACAACAACTCAATGATTTCTTATGATTCTGGCCTGAAAGAGAATCCAGGTAGAGTAAAGCAAAATTAAATCCAAAGGCTTTTGGCCATAAGAGAATTGATGCATGTCCTGAATGTATTAAGTAACTGAGAATCCAGGACAAAAATTGCTGGAAGAGGGTGGAGGACATAGAATCCTCCAAGAAAATTTGTTTAATAGCACACAAACTATAAAACTTGTCTACATTTTATTTAATATGCTGCATACTATTTCAGTTGAGAAGTCAAGGCTTTAAAAATCCTAATAATATTAAACTAATCCAGTTAGTTGCTCAGCTGCAAGATACACAACTCTTATCGTGCTGATTACAAGTCAGATGGAGCCACCAGAACAATACTGAATTATTAAGGTCTTACTACATGTGCTGTTAGCATCTATTAGATTACAGTGCATCATACCAAGTGCTCATTTCAGCTGAAGATTAGAAAGTGTATTTATACTGCTGGCTACTCGTTGGGTGGATCATAGTATTTACATACCATATGTCAGCATGAGATTACAGAAAGATTCATTCTTTTTGCCTAGGCCTTTCAGTAGACTGCAGCCAGCTCCAGTAAACTATAAAGCCAAAACTCCATTTCAACCTGACTTTGACAATTCAGCTCTCAGGAATTATGTTCATTTTCAAAAAATAGTGAGAAAGCCCACAGCTGACTGGTACAACCAAACTTCCTACAAAGCAGCATTTGACTTGCCTCATCTCAAAACAAGTAAGTAACCCATGCTGTACTGCACACACTACTTCTTGGCAAGAAAGGCATAAAAGATAAACCAGAGAGGTTCACTCTGCTGCAAGTGTTAACTAGCTTAAATTGCATTGAAAAAGAACAGTGAACAATGCCTCATCTTTTTTTTTTTTCTCCTCCCCCTCCCCCCCAAAGTGAGCACCACTGGCCCTCCAAAGCCATTCTCTTTCCACTATCAACACTCAGGTATCCCAGTTCCCTCTGTAACAGACAGAAGGGAGCCAATGGATGAGAACAAGGCAACTTACTGATACATGTGCAGACTTATCTAAAAATATTAGCTGAATGCACTGCAGATAGTGACAGCAATGTATATAGAAAGAGATGAAGAACAAGCACCCAAGTTTATGAGCAAATTGATTCAGCACTGAAGAAATAATAGAGTGGTACGTGCAAACAAATTGTATTTATTAAATAAATATAAGAGTTCTTAAGTGGCAGGATTAGGATTTAAGATTAGGATTTAACTCAATATTTTTAAAACTGCATGAAAAACCTTTGAACGTGAACTTATTGCAAGATATTTAAAGATGCAAGATAATTTATACTTTGAAAGATATTGTTATAATGGAGTCTGCTATGACAGCAAAAGGGAAGTTACCAAGTTATCATTTCCAGGATGATGACAGACGAAGCAGCTGTTATGCATTACATCACCATAACTGTCCATCTCTTTATCTGAAGGGTTTGTCCATTAGCTGCATGCCAAAACCCAATTACATGTGTAATACAAATGGAAAGGCTAAGCATAAGTGTCCCTTGCTTCCTCTCCTATTAAGTTAATAAAGCAGGCTCACCAAACCACAGGGACATAAGGGCTATTAAACTCAGCAGTACAGCACAGGCCCAGGACTATCAACCTCATCAATATTTCAGCATAGGCAAGAATGGCATGAGATCAGAATACCTTACCTGTCATCAGCCTTGTCAGGTCTTCCAGGTATCTGTCACTGTCCTGAACACATCCCGTTAGCAGAGAGGGGCATTTGGTAGAGAATCAATTTCAACTACTGTTCTATGCAGCCAGCCTATCCCCTCACACACTAGCAAAAGAAGAGACTTTAGAAGGAAAGCAGTGTATAGGAAGGGCCTGAGAAATGTATACTTGTTATTGAAAAAAAGTCTAAAGTAGGAGAAGTACAGTGGTTTCGTCTTTTGTTGTTTTTCTTTTACAGCTTATAATGTAACTTATGACAGACAACTGAAAGCTTTTTGCCAATGACTGTGGCAATCTGTTTTGAGGCTAAAGCAGCTCTTGACTTCATGAATGGTAATTTTGGCTCCAGAAGAAACTATAAGAGCCTTTGAAAGCTACTTAACTTGGCAGCATACAGGCACACTGCTGTTAGTACAGTGTTAGGCTGTTCTCCTCCTTGCTTCTGTAGTTGAATGCAGTACAGTTTCAAGAGCAAAACATGAAACGCTTGAAAATCTCCCTCACTTTCACCACTTGTTTCCACAACATTCAGACTGGTGGACAAGACACCCATTCCAGTGTGGCCAAAAGACCCATTTCTCCACACATACAAATGAAAGATGGGGTAGGAAAAGTACCAATTAAAAAGAAAAAAACAAAAACAAAAAAAAAAAAAAAACACCCAATAACAACAAAAACCATCAGGAATTAGATAGGCTATAACAATTCTATAACCATTTTTGACACCAGGAAAGCTGCTGTGCATCAACCCAAGAATTTAACAAAGCTTGCTTGTGCAAAACTGGCATTCAGGGACAACCTAATAAGCTTTACAAAAACTAAGTTTAATCATCCATAATTTAAAGAGAAAAATTCTTTGTTCCAGGTTGTGAAAATAAACACACATCAACAATAGCTCCTGCACCATATACTACCTGGAATAGGGTATTTGCTCAGAGGATGTTTTCTACTTCCCAAGCATACACCTGAGTGGAAGAATGAAAGAAAAATCTTGGAAAAGGAGCATAAATCACTCTTGCATTCACAGCAATTGTTGTTTCTTTAACTGCACTAACACTTCGTATCATTTTAGGCTATAGTTATAGTGCTTAGAAACCCTGTTTCACCTAGGAATATGAATTCCACAACTGTACAAAAGGGTGGTTTGTACAGTGGAGTTAGGACAGCGAGAAAACTGAAGGTCTTGAACATGAAGGTCTCTGCTTCCACAAGGTATATGGTAAGCCTTATTTACTCTCTGCAGAAGCAAAGCATCCCCTTATTTTATTCCTTAAGCCAAGGATGCCTACATTCCCTGGCTGGTAATTTTGGTGACAGCTACACAGAAGACAAGAACACTCTCTAATTATTACCTATTTTTCACGTTCAGGACAAGGAAAACTTGCCAGCTTTTCACCTTCTGAAGAAACTTTGTAAATTATGTATAACAGTTACATCGCTCTCTCTCATCACAGATTTCATTTTTTGATTTGCTTTAGCTAGGAGAGGAATAGGATGGTTCTCTCCTGAACTATGAGGAAGAGAACAAAACTAGGAGAAGACAGGGCCTCCTGTCAGAAAGAAAAAAAAAAAAGTATGAAGCTGCTTTGTTTTCTGCTACTGAGGAAAATAATCTTTACATGTAATGCTGATACAAAGGCCTCTTGAAATACTTGCCATTTTTTCAGTATTCCATGTCAACCTCCTCTTTCCATGTCACACCACTAAAATACAAACCTTGCTAACTGCCCTGTCACATGCCAGGGATTTAACAGGAAATGCTCCTTCTATCCAATCTCAGGCATGTGATTATCTAACCCATAATGTGGAAGGCCTGACAGAGTTCACTTTATATTAAAGGTTTCTTACATTTGTCTCACAGCCAAAAATCTACTGAATCATCCCCTGCCCCCTATCCTGACACAAGTTTTTTTTTTTCCTTCTTTTTTTTTTTGTGAAGGAAAATTAAGTTTTATTTGGAATGAAAAGGAAGCACATGAGTAACACTGTACAGCATACAGAAACAAGTCGCTCTCAGAAATCTGGAACGGGAACATGTAATTTTTGGGTTACTGCCAAAAGAAATCAGATTCTTTGTATTATATCACAATGCTTATAAATGAAAATTATTCTGAAACATCTTCCAACACTAGTAAGATAAAATATGTTTATGTCATAAGGCAAATGCTAACTATTTTCTCCACATCGAAGACAAATGCACAGAATATTTTTAATGTTATTTCTAAAGCATCTCAATTTAGAATTACAAAATTGTTTGTGCTTTGTTAGCTCTCAAAAGTTCTTCTATTGGTTATATTAAAAAAAGTTTAAAAGGGCATCAGAACATTAAGAATTCTCACCAAAAATAACCCTTTTTAATTAGAGAAACAGTTTGCTGAAATACATGCTTTGGAAGTAGATAAGTGCAGGGATTTAAAAGTAATAATTAAAAAAAGTAACATTATAAAACATTTAACTCAAAAATCAGAACTGTTCTTTAATAATCGCAAATGAACTTTTTACAATATCAATTTCCTAACTTCCCGAGCACACTTTCCGGTAAACACTTGAGTGTCCTCTGTGAGTTACAAAGAGTTCAGTTTTCTGTGCTATACAGCTAAAAAAAAACTTGGCATCACACCTTTTTTAAAAAAAAACAGATCACACAATAATTTAGACAGCATTTATAGCATTACAAAATCAGAATCCCTCTCTTTAATCACTCACAAGAGCAGCCATAAGGAATACAAATAATGAGGATGTAAAACTATCTGTGCAAAACTGCATTATTTTTACTGTCTAAAATTTCAGGGAAGTAACACCGCCAAAAGCAGAGAGGATAACAAACAGTCATGAAGTAATGATACCTTAGATTTCCAAACAGGAATTACATTATGAACTAATATTAGAAAAAGAAAAAAAAAATGATGGCACCTTGAACAAATAACAGATGTCCTGGAATTTGCAGTTGAATAAGAACAGATACAGGTTCAAGTTAAAGTCTCTTTCAGGAGTAACAATTGATTTAAGGATATCAACTCTAACATTTCTTTCCATGCAAAAAACTATCTTTCCAACATCTTTGCTTTGCGGGCTACTAATGCATTTAGGAATGAGCAGTCTTTTGAGGAGTGTGCTTTCTTCCATGCATCTGAAATCTTTAAAACAGCTGGATCATTGATTCCCTGGACTTCCCTACTCCAATCCATTTAACTGCAGGAGAGAAAAGTAAATTTTTATTATAAGAATACAAAGCAAGATTGGATTGCAGCTTAAGATACAAACTTCTTAAACACTTAAGATCTTTAGTTCTATAGCTACAAAGAGAAATATTATACTATAAGTAGGTTAAGAAGTTATATTTACATCTAGTGTTTGTGAAGTAAGAATGCACTGGTAATTTGGAAAAGCAAGAAAGGTCTTCAGGCTCTTGTAATAAATCAGTCTGTTTTCCAGATCATAAGAAAAAAAAAATACAGAAACTGTTAGAAAAGTAAAGATTTGCCTCAATGCTGTTCCCAGCTTTGGATAGAATCAGATCATCTTTATTAGAAAGCTTGAGAGTAATCTTGAGAGTAATACGTGATTTGTTGGCTTACGATCTCCTACTGCCACACATATTTAATATCTCATTAGTACACCAGTAGTTTCACTGACTGCATTATGGCAGCAGGACTACATCCCTATTATAACCAATTGGAAAAACACTTAAGCTTAACTTCTAAGAATGTCAGTTGAATGAGAGCTACAGCGTAAGCCAAAGAAAGGATGCTTATTGTAACTTCTGAAAGTTTTCAAACCAATAGACAAACAGATCAATAAAAAGTAGTGAAATAGTAATTACAAGTATCACCAGGTACAACAGTTTCTATTTTCTATACAGTGAATGTTCATTAAGACAGAGTGCGTGAAAGATAAGTTTCATGGAGCTGGGAAAAATTTATAAATAAGTCCTTACTTACCAGGAACACCTAATTCCATTTCTATAAAACGAACATAGTTCTGTGCATTTACAGGCAACTCATCGAATGTCCTTGCATTTGATATGTCTGTATCCCATCCTGGGAGTGTCTCATACTTTACCTCTACTTTACTTAAGACTTCATGGTTGGCTGAAAAGCAAACAAGATACATCCACAAAGTTCATACATTCTCTATCACTAAACATGTAGATATAAGCTTCTTATTCTTTGCCTATAAGAAGAGATTCTCTCTAAGTACAATGCCAACACTAAAGGTGCTTACACATATCTTTTTGTTAATGTAAGCAAAGAAAGCAAATCCAAACAACTATCAAGACTTAAGACTTTTGGAATTCTAGTACTAACAGTCACATATATTTTGTTTAAATCGGAAAACGTGATTTTCAGGAAATCTGTTTCCTCAAAACGTTCATTCTTTTTGCTACACAAATATTAAGACCCAATTCTCCTCTCATGAAGGAATTTGGTTGATGTAAAAGCAAAAATTATGTACCAGATTGTGAGTACTGTACAGTTAAAGTACATATTTTAAATGGCACAGGAGTGTACTTTTTATTAAATAAACATAGTAATAAACATGTACTGTTCATACAGAACATAACTGCCATGCCCCAAAACTTTACAACAGAATAGTTTGTCTAATTCAGTTCTTAAGGGTCTTAGAATACTGGAAGAAAGGTAGTTTGCCAACATGGTATCCAACATCACCAGTCCTCTACAGCAGAGCCCACAGCACTTATCTTGAGCAGACATGGAATGTTCTATTCTTGGTATCATTGTATGCAAAAGATGTACAAAGAACCTTTCAGCATCTACCATAATAGTCAGCAGTGTGAAGGGACAGAATTTATCAATCAAATCACCACTGCAGACCTAAAGGTGGAGTCACATATTCCACTGTTTCACTTACTTCCCAGAATAATAGAAATGACCCTATTCTTCCAATGACCCTATTCCATTTTGTCAGTCATTTAATGCCTTGCTACAATGATGTCCATCAATTATGAATCCTGTGATCTCAAGCCCTGGAAAAACATGTTATTCTGGAACTGAATCATTCTATTAATTTTCTGAACATGAGCATTGAAATGACACTCTGAGGCAAAAAACAAAAGCCTTAAACCTGGCTAAACGTTAAACTTGACGATATCAAAGACACATTGGTAAAAAATGGAGGGTACCAATATTCTAGCCTTCCTGAAAGAAGGCAGCATTCTACCAAAGACCTCGTAATTAATTTTACTTAGGCTCCATTTCTCAGATACCCAATCAAGTCACTCTTGCAAAGACAGTCAGTCAAACTGGGAAGGTGTTGTAGGTGCAAAAGGCATAACAAATATGCAAATACAGAATCACAGCTAACCTTCCCCCGCAGTGTGTGTGCAGCCAACAAACCCAGGCCCAAATTATTGAATAATTTGTCCTGGTGAATGTGAGTGCTCAAAAGCAGTGATGTCTTAAGTAAAGCCTCTATGAACTAGGCCCTTTTGAGTAAGGGCAAAGAACACATGCTATGTTCTATTGATTTCAAAGCTTGAATAGTGAAAAAATGCACACTTTTTGTTGGAATTGAGTTAGCCTTGACAAGCAGGCAAGAACAATAAGGATATCTAATTGTAAAGGCCAAGGATGAGCACTTTCCTTTATGT